CTTAAACTCATTTATTACATCAGTGGGACAGAGAGAGGCCAAGGAACTTTCTCTAGTAGAAGTTTTTCAACTTTACTACATTGTAAAAACTGTGTACTGTTTTAGTTGCATCATGATTAGAAAGTACTTGTCGATTTGGTGGGAAGTTAGGTAACCACGGGGACTTCTGTATTGCCATGATAATACTCTATTATTTTTCCAGTGCTTTATGGTTATGTAAATATTGAATACAGGAAAGTTTATGTTCAGGTTTATGGATTATATTTTTTATGTCCTTTAAGGTTATGTTTGAATCTGTAGCACCTTTGACTTAATTGAAATAAATTCTTTTGAATAAGGACTATTAAATAAGCATGTAGGTAATGGACATAGGAATTACATGTGGAAATATTTTATTTTATACAAATCTTTGTGAACCTTTGCTGTACTTTAAGCCCACAGTTGGCAAGAATGAGAGTGCTTTCTCTGAGCTGTCCAAAGGAAGGTGTTTAAAGGAAATGATTTCTATAAACTGAAATGAGTATAACTGAGAATTCTCAATGGATTCATAATTTGGACCCTGTAGCATTCCATAGTAATGTAGACTGTGAGCTTTTCAAGGGCAAGAACTATCTCATTGATCTTTACCCTCAGGATCAAGCATATAGATATATAAAGTTAATGCTTAATATATAGTTAATGCTTAATATTTCTTGAATGAGTGGATCATTGACTCTCACAATTCTCATAATGAGGGGAAGAGAGGATGGAACATTCTAGAAGCTCTGCTATAGGTCTTCATTAAATCACACTTCATGTTTTTAAACTTTTTTCATGCGTATAGTTTTTGCTTAGTCATTTAATTAAATGTCACTAAATTAAATGTACAGTCTCAATGAGTATTTTTAAAGAGTTGGTTTCAAGTTGAGAAAACTTGAAGGTTATGCATAAGAGTGGGATAGGAGGGGCTTCCCTGGTGGTGCAGTGATTAAGAATCCACCTGCCAATGCAGGGGAGACGGGTTCGAGCCCTGGTCTGGGAAGATCCCACATGCTGTGGAGCAAGGAAGCCCGTGCGCCACAACTACTGAGCCTGCACTCTAGAGCCCACGAGCCATAACTACTGAGCCTGCGTGCCGCAACTGCTGAAGCCCACGTGCCCAGAGCCCGTGCTCCGCAACAAGAGAAGCCACCGCAATGAGAAGCCCACACACCGTAACGAAGAGTGGCCCCCGCTCACCACAACTAGAGAAAGCCTGTGCACAGCAACAGAGACCCAACATAGCCAAAAATAAATAAAATAAAATAAATTTATAAAAAAAAAGAATGGGACAGGAAAATGAAAAAATCAAAGGAATTTATTTTTGTATGTGGTGAGATTCTGGGCTTCACATATTTTGAATTTCTAGTTTTGTTTTGACAGTATGTTGGTATATTAGTCATGATTAAAGGGGAAAGTGAGGTTACATTAATACTATTAATCTATTTTACAGAGCCCTTTTTTTTTTTTTTTTTTTTTTGCGGTACGCGGGCCTCTCACTGTTGTGGCCTCTCCCGTTGCGGAGCACAGACTCCGGATGCGCAGGCTCAGCGGCCATGGCTCACGGGCCTAGCTGCTCCGCCGCATGTGGGATCTTCCTGGACCGGGGCACAAACCCGTGTCCCGTGCATCAGCAGGCTGACTGTCAACCACTGCACCACCAGGGAAGCCCTACAGAGCCCTTTTAACACTTAAGTGTTTGCTTATTCATTTATTTACTGAAAAAGCATTTCTTCAGTCCTTTAAACCTGCTAGACATAATCAGAAATTTGTTGGACTAGAAAGTGCCATATTAGAAAGATCAATAAATACAATTACTAAAATTCATTGATTATAAAAAGCTTATATTTTCCTATTGTAACATCTTAAAATTTGGATACATCATATAATTGATGGTGTCTTTCATTAATAATTGACATCATTTTTTCCTTAATAGTACATAAAATAATAGTATGTCTTATATTTGATGAAATATAGTACATTTCTAAACAATCACTAAGTTTTAAGATCTTGAAGCAAGAACAACATGTAATTGATCTTGGCAGTTCCCTGACACATGACATGAAATCTCACTACATTTTGTGTTAATCAGTAAAGAAGGATTTCTCTTAAAATCTTATCTTTAGATTTGAATCTTTGGATTCTATTAATTTAGAGTGTTTAAAAGTTTTTTTTGTATATTATTATATGACAGTATAGCCACTATTCTTCCTTCCATTCACTAGATTAAACCTTATTAATATCTTAATTCCTTCTTTTTTATGGTTCATTACTTCTTTTAATCAATTACAGTATATCTTACTGTTAGGGATTCTTGAGTTGAATTTTCATTTCTAAAAATTTGGAGATGGTTGGAGTGTGTGCTTGACTGATGAGGATAAACTGGTTAAGATAAACTGATATAGTGCTGCTAGTTTTCAGTTATTCATCCTAGGAGAATGGATAATTTGCAAATGATCTCCCACCCTTTTATTAGTTAGTTTATGATTGGTACTAATATGTAGCAAAGTCATACTGGTTTACATTTTAAAGCTTCATGTTTCCTCTTTAGAGCAGGTAATAAGAAATACTGGAATGGCAAAAAAAAAAACAAAACCCCAAACAATAGAATATATGAGAATTGAAAAGCTTGAATAATATACACACTGGGTAATTGACCTCTGAACAATTAAAAACAAAAAGGGCTGTGATTTCATGCATCACTATTGAGCGTTGTTTAGATTTAACTTTTGTTCACCACTGATTGAATTAAAGTTTGAGGTGAAATGCTCTGTATCTCATTTCTAAACTCTCAACTGTTCAGTCATCTCTCATTGTGAAGTCATGAGATTCAGACATGATAAAACAATAATGAGAAGTTAACAATCAGGGTTAGAAAAAAGTATGTATTTTAAACCTGCACTCTTCTAAAAGGGAGAAAAGCAATTATAAGAGTTTCAAGAATCAATAGAAATTGATGTTTTATACCAAAGAAATCTTAAGACCTTGAGTTCTGCCCTGCCCACCATCATGATACAAATAAAAAGAAATCAATAGGCCTAGAAACATAAGCTATTAAAGATTTACATCCAGTGACTATTTTTGATACTCAAGGCATTGTTTAGTGTTTTGATTCAGAAAATCTATGTAATTAAGCATAAGAAATTACATTTTAAAATATAAAATGATTGTTTTCTTTTTAGTCTCTATATCTTTTATATTTCATTTTGAAAATAAATGTTAGGTATGGATTTTAAAATAATTCTTTATATGATTTCTGTCTAGTTAACTAAGACGTTTTAAAGGTCCTTTCTGTTAAAAAGATACGTAGCTCTTTATTAAAAAATTACTAACGGACTTTGTCAGACTGTATTAGGCCAGTTTCCCATCTCCTGGATAATCTCTTAGCTCATGCAGTAGAAAATGTAAGCAAAGGATTTTGAAACGAGTGCTGGGTATGGGAATTGTCAGAGCCAGTGAAGACAATAGCTATGTGTGAGGCTTTGAAACTGAGCATGAGAAATTTGAACTTGAAGCTCAGTTTGGAGTGTTAAGGAAAGTGTTACATGACTGAAGTAGTGAGATTATATGGATATCTATAGGGTAAAATTCAATAGAACACATACTCTAAGGAACAAAGTAATTCTTGTATCCTAATGTATCACTTCTCTGCTTTTCTCCTAATGACACACATAAGGCTTAACAATGATAACTTTAATGAAGCTGTTCAAGGCATGCCCAGATTTTTGTGAAAACACACTAACAGTCTTGCAAGGAAGTAACACGTTTTCTAAATGCCATAGCTGCTAACAGAGTACCATTTATTAGTGGTTGTTAACCATAACTGCATGCAGTTCATAGCTGGCTCTCTACAATACCACTTCTTTCTCTCCTATTCAGAAAAGCAAACCTTGAATTCAAGTGAATGAAAGTGATATTATGGGAACAACTGAATTGATTTTGATTCCTTAAAGAATGACTTACAGCTCTGCAGTGACCTAAATGGGAAGGGAATGTAAAGAAGAGTGGATATATGTTTAACTGATTCACTTTGCTGTACTGCAGAAGCTAATAAACATTGTAAAGCAACTATATACTCCAGTTAAAAAAAATCATTTACAAACTTGTGTACTACATTATTAATAACAAATTACTTGACATGCTTACAACGTGATTGCTGTACACCACTGTGTTGGGACACTGCTTGAGAATAGTGTTTGATTTTATTATAATACAGGCACTATGGATGAATAATCCTGTACAAGTGATTTTTCTTGATAGTGTTTGTGTCATGGTTATCTTCTACTCTACAAAATATAGATGATTGTTCCTTGACATGTAGTGAATGGGTGGTAAAGAGGGGAGAGAAGCTATAATTTAGTTCATCACAGCTCTTTTCTCTTGCCATGAAGCAAACTTACCTTTACCTCTTTTCATTTCAAGAATTTTCGCTGAAAAAAACAAAACAAAACAAAAACCAAACCTTCCAAACCAAAGAACACAGTATTTATGTGGAAAGACCACAGAGCTGAGGGGAGCAAAGGAGAGAAACTGGCTTTAAATAGTAGAGTTAAAATATCTAAATATCTTTACCTAGAAAGTAAGGAATCTAAGGACATGATTCCTTTGTTCCACTCCTAGAATATCATTTCCTGTCACTGTAGCTTTTCCTCAGCTTGGTTTCATGTCACTTAAGTCAGGGTTTAATCATGATTTTAAAGCAAGGAAGGACTTTAAAGATCATTGATCTCCCTTATTCTTAGTCTAGCAGTTTATTCATTTTAACTTTCTGAATGGTCTTACTTATCTTTGGATTCTCAGTACCTGGCACAAAACTTAGAAGGTATTCTGTAAATATTTGTTAAATTAGCTTAAAGAACTTAATCTGTATTGATATTAGTAAGTCGAAATACTATTAATAAGGTCTGATGATATCTTTGTAATCTTAGCACTTAAATGTCATCAGTGATTTTTTTTTTTCTTGACCTTTTTTCTCTAACCAGATTTGCATCTGCTGGTGATGATGGACTTGTAGTTGTGTGGAATGCCCAGGTGTGTATTGTTGCTATGTGGATTGTGTAATAAAGACATGACTGTATAGTTGAGTATGCATTCATAAACATTATCTGGAGATACACCTGCATATCAGTAGGTTGAGACTAGTTAATGCTCGAAAGGGCTGCTTAGGATGAATGCATTTAAAATGAGGACCAATGTTCCATAATAGAGTTTTTTTATTTAATATTTTTTCCGATAAACAAATGCTAGGTTATGAAAATAAAAGTTTTAATCTTAATTAAACAAAATTTATCAGCAACTATGCACTGATTCTGAAAATGAATCAGATGTTGACTTTTGTGGAAGACAATTTTTCTGTCAGAATCGTTTGATAGCATAATATAGCATTCTTATCATGTTTGACTATAATAGTAATATAATAAAAGGTTTATTTTTTCAAAAATATTTAAGGCTTTACCAAATTTCTCTAGGACTTCTCTTCTTATCCTTGGATTCTCAAATTATTCTCTTTTGAAGCGTTTATCTTCTTTCCCTTGTTTGGATTGTTATCTGGTCTGACTCAGTCAAGATCCTCATTTTTCGGTGGCTTTGCCTGTGATTAAAGCAGTTTTTTTAACATTATGTTCATCACGTGCATCATGAAATCCTGCAACCTTGGAGAGATTTGCAATTTATCTTATACTTACATTGCATTTCTGTATGTTTACTACTTGGGAAATCAGTGAGAAACTGATAGATGAAGACATTGGATGGATGGGAATAGCTGTTGATGTTAGAGAGAAGTAGAGTCCATACTGACTTTACGAGTGGTTGATACCTTACTGGATATATATATCCAATTGTTGTTACTGTTATGCTGACTTTTATTTTCTTCCACAGCGTTATAACTGTGAAGACTTAGATAACAGATGCTTGCATAATGAAGACTCCTTATTTTTTTCCTGCTGATTAAGTTACAGATATTTTTATGCTTAATTTACAGTTATAATCTTAAAACCATATGGAAAGAATACTCTTTTAAACTTCCTGTAACAATCTGCTAAAAATTAGTATTTTCTATTAGAAAATAATTAAAATTAGTTATAGCTACTCTCTTAGCACCTAATGTTTAGATACTGTTTGATTGTTTAAAGTTAAATTATAAAATCTAAGTAATTTCAGATGGAATGTATATATTTTCTACCTGGTGATTTTTCTTAATGTTGTCATTTAAGATTATTTTAAGTTATGAAATATGAAGTACTATTAACATTTTATTGATATTTCAGACAGGAGAAAAACTTTTGGAACTCAATGGACACACTCAAAAGATAACAGCTATTATTACATTTCCTTCTTTGGAAGCTTGTGAAGAAAAAAATCAACTGATCTTGACAGCCTCTGCTGACAGAACAGTTATTATATCCTTATAGAACCAAGTGGCATAGCTATGGTGATCCAAGGGACCAGTACATATGTTATTAGTCTTTATCCTCTTGGGGTCTGTCTGTACATTCTGTTTTAGCAAAAATGATTTTGTTCTAGCCTTCATAAGACACTTAAAAGTATTAGGCGTCTGAAAAGTATTAGACTGGAAATTGCAAGTTAAGGCTTATTGTTGTTGGAAACTTCATAACTAAAGCTGTTTTTCTCAGAGTTACTATTATATCAAATTACATAAAACAGGAAATGGGAGAATGTGGGCTTAAAAATATTTTTCATCTCAGATTGCTTTTCAATTTAGAGAAACAAAGATGAGTTGAACTGGAGAATAATTCACATTTTTTTTTCTGTTCATTGTACAGCAAAAGAAACTTAATGGCCCCAACCCATAAGAACTTTTTGAGGATATAAATCTGGCAGAAAAGTGAATTACCATCTGCTCAGCATTTAATATATGTAGTATTTTATTTTATTTTTATTTTTGGCTGAGTTGGGTCTTCATTGCCGCATGCAGGCTTTCTCTAGTTGTGGTGAGCAGGGGCTACTCTTTGTTGTGGTGCATGGGCTTCTCATTGCGGTGGCTTCTCTTGCTGTGGAGGACGGGCTGTAGGTGCATGGGCTTCAGTAGTTGCAGCACACAGGCTCAGTAGTTGTGGCACACAGGCTTAGCTGCTCTGCGGCATGTGAGATTTTCCCAGACCAGGGATCAAACCCATGTCCCCTGCATTGGCAGGCAGATCCTTTGTTTTTAATATTTATGTTTCCTTTGCCTTTTTTTAAAAAAATTATTTAATTTATTTTTGGTTGCATTGGGTCTTTGTTGCTGCGCACGGGCTTTCTCTAGTTGCGGTGAGCGGAGGCTACTCTTTGTTGCGGTGCGTGGACTTCTCATTGCTGTGGCTTCTCTTGTTGCGGAGCATGGGCTCTAGGCGCGTGGGCTTCAGTAGTTGTGGCTCATGGGCTCTAGAGCGCAGGCTCAGTAGTGGCACACGGGCTTAGTTGCTCCACGGCATGTGGAATCTTCCTGGACCAGTGATTGAATCCGTGTCTCCTGCATTGGCAGGCGGATTCTTAACCACTGCACCACCAGGAAGCCCCATATTTAGTATTTTCAAACAATTAAAAAATGTAAATGATCTTTCCTCCCCATACTTTCAATTGAAAATTTAAGATGTAGTAGCCATAGTAAAGTGTTATAAATTGCTTATATGTACCAGGCATTGTTCTATTTTACATTTATTAACCCATTTAATCCTTATAGTAAGTATTTCTATTATTTTCATTTATAAATAAGAAAAGAAAGGCACAGAGAGGTTAAGTAACTTGCCCAAGGTCATGCAGCCAGTATAGGGCAGAAGGCAACAGACTGACTGCAGAGTCAGAGCTCTGAATCACTATGTAATACTGCTTTCATAAAATATTTTTCTTAAATAAATAAATTTTTCTTAAATAAATTTAGCCCTTTTATATTTGTTTGTGGAATTGGGTCTGTGAAAGCCATAGCTAAATGCTATGGATAGCTAATCTTTCATTACTTTTTTTTTTAAGGTATCATAGATTAGCTTTAAAAAGTCTATGCTTATCTGAGAATTCTCTTTAAATAGCTTCAAGCATTACTGAAGTAAGTTTTGGAGTAAGTCCAAAGGTATAGGTGTTTCTTAGGCTTCTGTAGAACCAAGACACACTTTAAATGAGCTCATCAGCTGAAGTGATTTCTAGACAGAGTGCCAATAGGTGAAAGAATTTGAAGAAAAGGTTTAAGTGGAGATAAATGATATTTTATGGTGATTACAATATTGCATAAACAGGGGCATAATATGCACTCATATGTTTAGGTCAGAGTAGCTTTACTACTGTTGCTCTGTTGAGGCAAGTGTTATTTTATGGACTAAAGGTCTCTTTTTTGGGTTTGTTTTCAGCATCAGTATAATCTCTGCAAAAATAGAATATCAAATACTTTTTATTAGACTGTTCCTAAGGTACTATGATACTATTTAGAGCCAATTATTAAAATTACTATTACAGTACAGACGTGAGTAGCTGGGACAATATCAGTATAAACTTTAACTGTAAATGATAGTATAGAGTTATTTCCTTCGCTGAATGACGTTTTTTGTTAAAAATAATTTCAGGTTGTTTTGTTGGCAGTTTCTTTTATTCATATGAATTCTAAATTTACCCTGCTTGGGTCTCTGCTGTTAACTAACTTCATTAATTAAATGCTGAGGGTAGACTTTATTTCTTTGTCAAGTGATGGTCTTAAGAATCCATATATATGTACATATTTATTTGTATGTAAATGTGTTCTCAGACATGATATAAAATGTATATCTTACCATAGGAAATGGTATGAAAAATTTGAAAATCATTATGCTCCTTAAGTCAAACTAACCTTGGACATTTTATGAGAGGTCCTGTAATTATTTTAAATATGTATATAGTTAATAGGAATACACTGTTACTGTCTTCTTTCAATCAAGATAACAGTAGTAAATGATGCCAGGCACACTGAAGGAGCTTTCAGTAAATGTTAATTAATGGATGTGATAGTTTTTAGTATAAATATTTTATGTTCAATGTTTATTAGATTACGGTAGATTGTTTTGGAGAATAAAACTTAAATTTTATATAGTTGCAATATTTAATGCCTGTAAACATTCAGTATTCAGACCATTCATTCTGTTGGTATTTTCAAATGGTTTGATAGTAAAATTTACCTCAGACTTATTTTACATTATAAGTCTGCTATGCTAAGTTGATGAATTGATTTTTGTGGTAGTATAAACATGAAATATTTCATGCTTTATATATTTTCTATGTAAATGTGTAATATTTGTGATTTATTAGAAAAATTATAATTAAGGTTTAAAAATTATGCTGAGAAATTATTTCTTAACATAAATTTAGGTATGGGACTGTGATACTGGCAGACAAGTTCAGAAAGTGTCATGCTTCCAGTCTACTGTAAAGGTAAAATTTTTTTTTTTTTTAAGGTAAAATCTTAATCAGATACTTTACGGTAATAATCTTTTTGTTTCAGAAAAAATTGTTTAATGATTTAGCTGAAATTACTTTTGTAGGTTTCAAAAATTATTTCTTCCACACATACACAGTCATTTGATTCTTCTAACACTAGATTTTGGGGAGTATATATATTAAATGCTAGAATTTTGAATTTTAAATTAGAGCAAGAGGTGAATCTCTATAGTAAGATAAGGAAAAATGTAGTAGTACCTAGTATGTTTTTAGTAGGTAATTCTAGGAAGAGATATTACTTTCAAAGTGACTACAGCAATAGCTAGTCTCTTTTTTGTTTGTTTGTTTTAGCTTTGAACTAAAACATGGAGTTATTTGTCCCTCACCATCTATCTTCCATAAAATGATAAGGGTAAGATATAGCAATTACTTAGTTCCAGAACAAAATCTTTTGTGGCTAATTGGCTGCTACTGTTAGGTTCATTCATTTTATAAACAAATATTAATCGGAGCTTATTACTTGATAGGAACTCTGCTACATGTTGGAGAAACAAACTTGGATAAGACTTGGCTACATTGATTTCTGTAGAAGAAATTACCTTAAATGTTCTCAGAAAGTACACTGTTTTTCAATAATGTCAACAAGTTTGGGGAAAGATACTAGTAAACTGAAATAGTGTTTCCTCATTTGCTTTGAAGATTACTGATCTCTGTATTGGAGCTAACACTTTCAATGTAAAAAAAAAATCACTGTGCCAATAGTCAAAGTATTTCATTTTTTTCCCTAAAAGGCAGCATCTCTGGTAGCCATCTTATGCTACTATGCTATTCTGATTATCAATTTAGAAAAGTTTCTGGGGAAGAAAGTGACATTTACTATATACTGGTATCCAGTTTTACAATGGACTGTCTTTGAAGTCAATAAAATATTGACCTGATCAAAATCTCTACGCTTTATGTGAAAAGATGCTCCTATTAAATCCCTCAAAAAATAGTCTTGCTTATTTGACTGAGGTAATTAGGATTCAGATGAAAATATATGCATTGAAGGAACAGGGAAGGAGAAAAAATTTAGTGTATTTGGGGGAAATTCCTTTGGTGAGCTGTTTCATGAACTGGTCAATAAAAAGTATCTTATTTCGGGGCTTCCCTGGTGGCACAGTGGTTGAGAGTCCGCCTGCCGATGCAGGGGTCGCGGGTTTGCGCCCCGGTTCGGGAAGCCTTTGCTCCGTAACGGGAGAGGCCACAGCAGTGAGAGGCCCGCGTACCGCAAAAAAAAAAGTATCTTATTTCGGTATGGTGAAAGGACTTCCTCTTTCTTTTTTAATGAGCAGCCTCCTTTCCCTTGAAAGTACTTCTTAAAGGGGTTTTACTGTACTGTTAATCAGCTAGATAGTTGTGTTTATTCCCACTGTGATCCTGTTTCGCATTAAAAAAAATCGTTAAATACAGCATTTCATTCATTTTAGTTCAGTGGTTCAATTGTTCTTGAACTGATAGTTTATCAGAGAATTTCAGATCCTTAATAAATATACGAAATACTATTATTTATTTTTTGAACTAGTAAAGTTTCTTTATAAGAGATGATATTAGCAAGGAGGTGCTGAAATTGGCATTTTTATTGTCATTGAGAGTGTAATCAAAATGATCTTCCTGGAAGGCAGTTGGCTTTATGAATGAATCTTAAAAAATTATTATATGAATTGACCCAGTGATTCTACTCCTAGAAAACTCTTTAAAGAAATGATAAAAGCTTGGGCAGCGATTTATGAACAGAAATATATATTACAAATATATTTTATAAATGGATGATTGACAGTATCCTAAATGTCTTATAGGAAAATAGTTAAATTATGGTAGACATATATGCTAAAAATGGTTTCAGAAGAACACATAGCTTTTGGAAAATGCTAATGATAAGATGTTAAGTAACAAAAGCAGTATAGTATCCTCAACAAAACACTAGCAAACCAAATCCAACAATATATAATAAGGATTATGTACCATCATCAAGTGAGATTTATCCTAGGAATATGAGTTTAGTTTAACATCTGAAAAATCAATCAATGTAATATACCATACATGGTAAGAATAAAGGATGGAAAACATGATCATCTCAATAGATGCAGAGAAAGCATTTGACAGACTCCAACATCCTCTCATGATAAAATACTCAACAGACTAGCAGTAGACGAGAGCCTCCTCAACCTGATAAAGGGTATCTAGGGAAACACAGCACCTAACATCATATTAATGGTGAAAGACTGACTGAATACTTTCCTCCTGAGTTCAGGAACAAGACAAGGATGTCTGCATTTGGCATTTCTCTTCAACATTGCACTGAAGGTTCTGACCCAGGGCAGTTAGACAATAAAAATGAAATAAAAATCATCCATAGGGGCTTCCCTGGTGGTGCAGTGGTTAAGAATCTGCCTGCCAATGTAGGGGACATGGGTTCGATCCCTAGTCCGGGAAGATCCCACATGCCGCAGAGCAACTAAGCCCGTGGGCCACAACTACTGAGCCCGTGCTCTAGAGCCTGCAAGCCACAACTACTGAGCCCAAGTGCCACAGTTACTGAAGCCCGCGTGCTTAGAGCCTGTGCTCCACAACAAGAGAAGCCACTGCAAGGAGAAGCCCGTGCACGGCAACAGAGTAGCCCCCACTTGCCACAACTAGAGAAAGCCTGCGCGCAGCCCCGAAGACCCAACGCAGCCAAAAATAGATATAAATAAATCAATAAATTTAATTTTAAAAAAGCATCCATATTAGAAATGAAGAAATAAAACTGTTTCTATTCACAAGTGACATGCTCTTCTATATAGATAATCTTAAATCCATAACAAAACTATTAGAACTAATAAACGGATATAGCAAGATTTCAGGATACAATCTCAATATACAAAAAATTAACTGTATTTCTTTAAACTAGCAATGAGCATTCCAGAAATAAAGAAAATTTATTTGCAATAGCATCCAAAAAATAAAATAGAAATAAATTTAAAGAAGAGCTATGAGACTTGTATACCAAAAACTACAAAACATTGTTGAAAGACACTAATGAAAATATGAATAAATGGAAAGAAATTCATGGATCAGATTTAATATTGTTAAGATTGCAACGTTACCCAAATGATCAACACTGGACAGAATCTCAGCAGGCTTTTTTCCCCTCAGAAATTGACAAGCTGATCCTAAAATTCATGTAGAAGTAAAGGGACCCCATAATAGCTAAAACAGTTGTGAAAAGAAAGAACAAAGTTTCAAGATTGAAACTTACAAATTTCAAAATTTACTACAAAGCTATAGTAATCAAGACAGTGGTACTGGCATAAAGGTAGATGTACAGATCAGTGGAATAGAACTGAGAGTCCAGAAATAAAACCTCACATATGTGGTCAATAGATTTTTGACAAGGGTGTCAAGACCCTCCAATAAGAGAAAGAATAGTCTCTTCAGCAACTAATACTGGATCTAGATATCTACATACAAAATAATGAAATTGGATCCCTACCTCATGCTGTAACCAAAAATTAGTTCAAAATGGGTCAAAGACCAAGATATAAGAGCTGAAACTATAAAACTCTTAGAAGGAATATGAGTAAATCTTTGTGTCCTCGGGTGATACAAAGTGTCGCCTTTGTGTCCTAGATGTGATAGCAAAAGTATAGCAACAAAAGAAAAAAATGATAAATTGGACTTCATCAAAATGAAAAGCTTTTATACCTCAAAGGATACCATGAAGAAAGTGAAAAGACAACCAATAGGATGGGAGAAAATACTTGCAAATCATATATCTGATAAGGAACTTGTATCTTGATTATATAAAAAGAGCTTTTACAAATTAACAATAAAAAAGACAACCCAATTAAAAACAAAGAATTTGAAAGACATTTCTCTGAAGAAGGTGAGCAAATGGCCAATAAGCACATGAAAAGAAGCTCAACATATTAGTCATTAGAGAAATGCAGTTCAAAACATAATGTGACACTATTTCACATGCACTAGGTGGTTAATATCTAAAAGACAGATAATAACAAATATTGGTAAAGATGTGGAGAAATTAGAACCCTCTTACATTGTTGGAGGGACTGTAAAATGGTACAGCCACCTTGGTAAATAGTTTGATAGTTCATCAAAATGTTAAATAGAGTCATTTGACCCAGCAATCTCACTCCTAGGTATTCCCAAGAGAAATAAAAATGTCCACACAAAAACATGTACATGAATGTTCATAACAACATTACTCATACTAGCCTAATGGTGGAAACAACTTAAATGTCAATGAACTGATGAATGGATAAAATGTGTATAACCATACAGTGGAATATTATTTGGCAATGAAAAGGAATATAGTACTGATATTAAAAAATCAGAGATTAGACACAGTAGGACGTCTTGAAGTACAAACTGCACTGATTATTTTTAACCCTTTTTATTCCAGCAGTTTAAAAAGCAACCCCATCCTCAGCCCAGGGAAGATTACCAGAACCTTTTCCTTTTTATTTTTTAATACATATTCTCTCTTGCCCTTGTGTTCACTCAGAGTTAGTGGGTGGGGAGAGAACTATGAAAGGTGTGGACTTTAAAGTACTGTTAAAGGTAAAGGACTTCTACCAACCTTGAAATAATTTCCTGAGTCAAGAATTAGGAGGTTTGAATTTGAAAGATACATAAAAACTAAGGTCATATTTTCAGTTTTATTTAAAAAGCAGTTTACGTTAAGCTTGTGTATTAGTTGTCTATTACTGAGTAACAAATTACCTCAAAAGTTAGTTGTTTAAAACAATATCTCAGTGTTGGTGGTCAGGAATAGAGAGCAGTTTAGCTGGATGGTTCTGTCTCAGTGTCTCTCCTGAGGTTGCTGTCACCTTCAGGTGACTGGGGTTGGAGGTGTTAGGGGGTCAGATGCTAGGTGAGTTAGTGTTGGTTGGTGTCCAGAGGCCTCACTTCCTTGCCTCACTTCCTTGAGGGTAAAAAAAAGATGCCAGCCACAATTAAAAAAAAAAAAAAAAAAGATGGATCCTTCTCCATGCGGCTGCTTGTGTGTTTTCAGAACTGTAGAGTGAGTGATCTGAGAGAGCAAGGAGGTAGCCACCATGTCTTTTATGACTTAGTCCTTTAAGTCACACACCATTCCTTCTGCCTCATTCTGTTCATTGGAAGCCAGTGACTTAGCAGAGCCCACATTCAAGGGGAAGAGAATCAAGCTCCACCTCTTGAAGGGAAAGGGTATCAACTTGTGGACATATTTTAAAACCACCGATGAATGCTTGAATTTCTAAACTGATAACTATTTCACATGAATTTTGCAGTGTTTAGCTCTTCTTCAGAGACTAGATGTTTGGCTTTCTGGTGGGAATGACCTCTGTGTGTGGAACCGAAAATTAGATCTCCTGTGTAAGACTAGTCACCTTTCTGATACAGGTAAAAACAAATCAAGGTAATTGTGAACCATGATAGACTCTAAAAAGACACAGTGAATCTTCAAAGAGACTTTCCATGAATACAAAGGAAATATAGATTTTCTTTTTAATTCTGAATATAAGATGTAGCCGTATTTCTCCAATTCAGGTTAAGGGTTGTGTAAAATACATTTCCATCTCAAGTTGGAAGGAAAAGATCCCCCTTCCTTTGGCTTCCCCTTCCTTTCTAACAGAATTTCTCAAAAGTGATCAAGAAAAACCCTTTCATATATGCTTCTGGGCCATGTCTTAAACTGAGTTTGATGAGCATGTTGACACCTGGAAGCAGATCTTTATGACTTTACAATAGCATTTTCTTTCTTTATTTGTAGGGTCATCAGACTTTGAATAGATTCCTAAGGATGACCTCATTTTACAGTTGGTTTTACTAAAGAAACTTCACTCACGTGCAAACTTCCTAATAAAATTCTATTTTCTCAGAATTCTGTTGACATATACTTTTGGTTTTAATAGAAGAAAAATCAGTTTTGACTTATATTGATATCAAGGAACTTAAAAAATAAAAATTTATTCAGAGTAAAAATATTTAAGTATAAATGAGTAAATTTAAATGACAGTAACCTTGAAGTCATGTGATACACTATTATTTTTGTTTCTAAAAGTAGTGAAATGAACCCATGGACATCCTAGAAAGAATACAGGCATACCCTGTTTTATTGCACTTCGCTTTATTGGGCTTTGTAGATACTGCCTTTTTTACAAATTGAATGTTTGTGACAGCTCTGAGTCATGCAAGTCTATTGGCACCATTTTTCCAACAGCATTTGTTCACTTTGTGTTTCTGTCACATTTTGGTAATTCTTGAAATATTTCAAACCCTCCACCAGCAAAAAGATTATGATTGGCTGAAGGCTCAGACAGTGGTTAGTATTGTTTTAGCAATGAAGTATTTTTAAATTAAGGTACTAATATGTACATTGTCTTCTAGACATAATACTTTTGCACATTTAATAGATGACAGTATAGTGTAAACATAACTTTTATGTGCACTGGGAAACCAAAAAATTTGTGTGACTTGCTTTATTGTGAGAATTGCTTGATTTTGGTGGTCAGGAACCAAACCTGAAATATCTCCAAGGTATGCCTTTGTTATTAAACTTCATTTACACTGCATTATTGGAACTAGTTTATCTCCACATGGGTATTATAAAATACCAGAAAAATAATATGATGTCTTAGCAAAACTAAATCCATACCTTACTAGGATTTACAGTTTAACTTCTCAATTCAGTGTTCAATCACTAGTAATCTTGTTTGAATCTAGAGTGTATTTTCGTGTTTACTATTATCATGAGTTATATCTCTTTATTTACATATACATTTTCCTTCCTATTTCTTATACTAGCCTGTGGGTATCTGTGAATTTTTATTTCATGAATTATTAGTAATTATGTTGTGAAATATTGAAATCAGGGCTAAAAACACCTTTTGTATGTTAATGGAAATAACCACCTATTATTGCAGTCCCCATTCCTGTTACGAGTTATCTTTGAGTACTGTACATTAAGTAGTCACAGTTTGCCCTGTTTATCAGTGTTTCAAGATATAGCAGAAATCTTTGAGGAAATCAGTTAGAAAGCTTTGAAAAGGCCTTAGGTTGCCATTGGTGAGCTTTTCATGATTTGGATTTAGCAGTACTCTTAGACCCTTATCTTATAAAGCTCCTTTCAGTAAGCCTTGCTTGATTTATGGACTGGCAGGGCTTTTAGAACAGTTATTACGTATTTGGAAATAAGCAAAGATAATCTTAGTCAGTCTGATGCAATGGAAGGAGGCTTGGACTAGAAAACAGGACATCCATGCCCTTTCCAGCAATATGTTCTGTGATTCTGTGTATTAAGTTGCTACTTCTGGATTAATGAGTTTCTAGTATTTTTATTTCATAAATAATTTAATAAACATTTTTTTAAACAAGCTGTTTTCTGCATCTGGAATTCTCCTCTGCTACCCCTTCCCCTGCTCTCCTATCTCTTCTACTTCTTGTACCACTCCTCCTCCCCTTTCTCCTCCACCACACCATCATCCCCCCGTCTTAAACATGGGAAAATAGAAACATACTGTTAAAACAGTATGTGGAGAAAAGATTTTGGCCAGAAATACTCCCCAAGTGGGAAGGTAAAGTAAATGAGTAGAATACTTTCCAAATTTGTGTATATGTTATAAATTACATATATATAAAATTACATATATTTTATAATGGAGAAGTGAACTTTTAATAAACAGGGTTTTTTGCCAACACATGTGGTGGTTCTAAATCTAATACATGAATATTTTTTGCTGACAGAAGTAATGTAACATATTTTATAGAAAGTAACGTAACATATCTTATAGAAGTTATGGTTACCCTAAAATCATTTCATGATTCAGCTATAAAAAGATACTTAGAATTGTATGCTTAATAAATGAAATGTGATGGAATGTTGAATCTGATTATTCTAGTAATAGAAGGAGTTTTGTAAATGTGTTGATTGATTATAAACATATTATTTGAACACTTTCCTAGCTGTTGACGGTTGGCTCACTCATTTACTGCCAGGGAGCCCACCCAGGCTTCTTAAATTTACATTGAGGAGCATGCCAATTTTATATCTCATTTGAGCTAGCCATCTTGTAAATGGTGATGATGATTATCTTAAGGGTTCCCTGGTAAATAAGTTCACCACAATAGTAAAAATATTCAAAGAGCATTTCCTACTCTTAAATCAATAATGTCTTCCAGAGGTCTCACCTACTTTTCACAAAATCATTTTCCATATGTAAGCAAGCACGGAAGTGTGATGTAGCAAATTGTGTGTGCTTTATAGTTACCATCCCCTTTATAGGAATGACCAACATAAATCTGAGAATGTTTTTGTTTTTGATGTAATCCATGAAGAAAATAATTTAACCTTCGTTTTACATGTTTTTGTGAAGGGATCAGTGCTTTGATTGAAATACCTAAGAACTGTGTTGTGGCAGCAGTTGGCAAAGAACTGAGTGAGTATGACTCTTTTTTTCTTTTATTTCTTCTTCTTTTTAAAAATTTTAAACTAGCCTTGTATACACATTTCAGAAAGACTAATTCAAGGGACATCTTTCCCGTCCCAGTCTTGGCCTCCTGGGATTGTTGAAGTGATGTGGAACCCAAGACATTTTCAAGATCTTAGGTCAGTTTTTTACCACACTTGGTCTAACATAGCCAAGTGGGCAAGGTAACCCCATTCCTCTGATGCTAGAGAAGGCCATTTACATTCCACAGTCCTCTCTGTTGCTGATCCACACTCACACACTTACTTAGCAAAAACTTTAGCCACATAAAACAACTATCAACATTCTGGAAACTAAAAGCTTGAGTTGGGAGTGTTGGAGGAGGATTATTTGGGGAGTTCACTAAGATAGGAACTGTGGAGGTTTTGCCTCAGGAAGCCAGAATGGGGCCCATTTTCTTGTGGGGGAGTTTATGCCATTTCCCTCAGACTAGTGGGACAGCAGAAGGAGGGATAGCAACAGGAATTTTGTGAATGTATTAACTGATTATAAACATGCAGTTTGAAGGACACTTTCTTAGCTGTTGACTGTTGGCTAACTCATTTACTGACAGGAGCCTGCAGTAAAAAAAAACCTTCTATGTTCATTACCTTATGGATGAAATTTGGGTGCTGAGAAGTGATAGAGTAAGCACACTTCTTAAAAGCTGCTTTTTTCTTGAAGAATTTTTGTAGCCCAGAGGGCATTTGCTATTACTTGTGCTGCTGCTTCTAGAGACCAGCCTTGAGATTTGCTATGACCATCAGTTGGCATGTTTGCAGATACCAGTGAGCCATGAGTTAATTGTTCACCATTTATAAACTGTTGTCTGCAGGCTCTACTGCTTTGCAGTCACATTTCTCTTTCTTCAACTGAACTTTCTGTGTGTAATCATGTCTGAGAAGTAATTTTCTAGACCCTATGCTTATTCTTTCTTTTCATAAAGTAATTTCTAAAGATATAATTCTGTGTTTAGTTTTTTTTTCTTTTTCCTTCCTTGCAGAAATTCAGTTTTCCCATGTTCTTTATTGACCTGGAAAGACGTCTAGCTTTTCCCTGCCTTTTTCTTCTGTGTCAATCACTTGTGTTTTGCTGGTTTTACTCTAACTCAGTGGTTCTTACATTTTAGTGTGCGTGAGAATGACTTGAGGACTTGTTAAAAACACAGATTACTGGGCCTTACTCCCAGAGTTCCTAATTCACTAATTCTGGAGTGGGGCCTGAGCTTCTGCGTTCTAACAGGTTCTCTGGTAGTGCTGAGGTTGCTGGTGTGGGACCATACTTTGAGGATGGCTGCTGTAAATATTTTGATCCACTTCTTTCCATCTCAGTACTGTTGCTCTATTCAGGTACTCATCTCCTCTTTTGCCTGCTCTGTTGTGATAGTCCCCTAACTTGTCTTCCTTCCTCTACTGCTTCTCAAATGCCTTCTCCTCTAGTTTAGTGCTTCCCAGATACATTTTCTAGTAGATGCTAGAGGGATCTATCTAAAATACAGGCTTCAAGACGATACAGATGCACTTATTTGCAAAGCAGGAATAGAGACACAGAGGTAGAGAATGGATGTATGTATACGGAGCAGGGGGCGGGGGATGAATTGGGAGATTGGGATTGAAATATATACACTATTGATGCTATGTATAAAGTAGATAACTAATGAGAACCTACTGTGGTGACCTAAATGGGAAGGAAATCCAAAAAAGAGGGGATATATGTATACGTATAGTTGTTTCACTGTGCTGTATAGCAGAAACTAAAACAACATTGTAAAACAACTATACTCCAGTAAAAATTAATTTAAAAAAAAAATGCAAGCTTCAAAGCTTCAGTGGCTTCCGATTGCCTACATCAGTTGTTTCTGAACTCTCAAATTTCTGATTAGTACAAAAGGTCAAACTTGTGGAGATCAACATAGAGTTGCCAGTTTTTATTTTGTTTAGTGAAAACATTAAAAATCCCAAACCAGAAACCAAACTACCATTTACCACCCTGATTTTATAAAAATAAGTTTTAAACAACAAAATATGAAGAACATGATCTCAGAAAAAAAGAATAGGACTTTAAATTGAATACATTTAGTTTTATAAAAAAAACTTATGTAGTCCTTATTTTTTCTCATTTTTGCTCCAGCTGAAAGAAATCTTTGCCCTAGGGACCCATGTAAGGACACGAGTAGCCTACAAGTCCAGATTTTTCAACATATCAAATCATGCCCTCCATTATTTCCCTCCTGCTTCCTTTGAGTCCTGTATCACTTGCTTGTTAACACTGAATTGCTTGGGATTCCCCAACCTCTATGCCTTCATTTCTGTTGTCACCGTGTATTGGACTTGTCCTCCTACTTATTGTCCTCTTCGATCTGGCTAATTTCTAAAATAAGAGATTTTTATTGAATGAATTAGTGAATTCATTGAAATAGTAATAAAAGCAACACTAATGCCTCAATGGAAGTTAGAATATTAGCTAAAAAAAAGGAAGAAATGAAAGTTGGTTTTATTCTGAAAATAATTTATAAAAAATACAAATATTCTTTAAAACGAGGTTCTGCATTTTACTTAGTCTTATAAAATAAATATGTTGTGCCATTTTTCCTTATAAAAATAAGTTTTATTCCTTTAAATGTACTATCTTTTCTATTTCTAAGACTAAGCTTGTGCCCATGTACTTGGTTTTAAATGTTCCATACCAATTTCTCTTTTTCTAATGTGAGGGTTCCCCTCAACAGGAAATAGAATTTCTGTGTGCACTAGCTGCAGTGACTTTGAAGCTTTTATTATCAATAGCTAAGCAAGGCTATCAGCTCTGAGTACTCATCCTGGTTCAGAAGTCCAGGATTTTTCTATTAATCCTTTTTTAGAATTGACTATTGCTTCTCTTTTTTTTTTTTTGGTGGTACGCGGGCCTTTCACTGTTGTGGCCTCTCCTGTTGCGGAGCACAGGCTCCAGACGCGCAGGCTCAGCGGCCATGGCTCACGGGCCCAGCTGCTCCGCGGCATGTGGGATCTTCCCGGACCGGGTCACGAGCCCGCGTCCCCTGCATCGGCAGGCGGACTCTCAACCACTGCGCCACCAGGGAAGCCCTATTGCTTCTCTTTTATCTTCTGATCTAATTCATATTTGTTTTATTTCCTCGAAGTTATTACATATGTGACCCTTGTGAATACTTGTCTATAGAGACTATATTTAGGGACTCACTGAGCAGTTTCACATTATCTTTTGTACTTTGCATTTTTTTGTTCAGAGGCTTCACGGTTGGTAGTGGGTTTAGAAGAGTTTTAATAAAGGAACAGAGCTCTGAGGACACACTCACTTGGGATTTTAGGAGATCATTTCAAACATCTCAAGCATTTGAAAGAAATATTTTAAAGTAGTATGAACAAGGCTGTCTTTGGAGATGGGTTTTTCAGTATTTTAGGTATTTCTCACTTAATGAAATGCTAGTTTTTGAGCAGAAATATAACTTTAATCTTTGACCATTTTAATAAAATTATATCTGTCTTTTCATTTAGTAATTTTCAGGCTGGTAGCACCCACAGAGGGATCACTAGGATGGGATATTCTTCAAGTTAAGCGCCTCCTTGATCACCAGGATAATATTCTCTCACTGGTTAATGTCAATGGTAAGCTCATTGTGTACGTGTTGATATTATGTAAAAATTTTTTAACTTTTTAACCTGTTTTGAACTTTAGTCTTGTTTTGTTCTAGAATTCTGGAATTACCATGATGAAAATAATGCTATTAATTAGTAGGGATTGGCAGTCTTTTATTTTCTGAGGTTTAAACCAGTGGAATTCATCAAGTTTCATAGATTGTTAGGTCTTAGATTTAGGCACAAGGGGAAGAATAGAGTTGGGCAGAGAAAAGGGATGACAGAGGAGAGAGCATACTTACCTCAGGTGCTGCTTGGTAGCTGTGGGATGATTGTTGTAGGCTATCAGTACTAATGCTTGGTAGCATTTTGACTTTTTTGTGTGTGTGTGTGGTATGCGGGCCTCTCACTGCTGTGGCCTCTCCCATTGCGGAACACAGGCTCCGGACACACAGGCTCAGTGGCCATGGCTCACAGGCCCAGCCGCCCCGCGGCATGTGGGATCTTCCCGGACCGGGGCATGAACCCGTGTCCCCTGCATCGGCAGGCGGACTCTCAACCACTGCGCCACTAGGGAAGCCCAACATTTTGACTTTTTTGGCAAATGGTCCTGGCTAGTTTCTCTTTGGAAGATCACACAGTACAAATTATATAGCACTCTACTTACAGTAGAATGAGCTGGATTCAAGCCAGTTGTAATTATGATTGAAGAGTCAGAGAATAACACCAAACTAAAGGTCTGCAGAAAATGGGTCATATCTGCCCTTCCTCATGGATGTGTGTGTTGGTTGTTTTTTTTTTTTTTTTTTTTACTTTTTGGCCGCTTGGCCCGTGGGGTTTTTTTTCCCCGACCAGGGATTGAACCGCCCCCCCCCCTGCAGTGGAAGCACACAGTCCTAACCGCTGGACTGCCGGGGAAGTCCTGCCAGACTTTCTATTTGGCTTTATAATGATTTTAATGAGTTAGCTCCTGTGAGCCGAACCTGACATCAGATGACAGGATAGGATCACAAACCACAAATCCTGGGATTTAGCTACTTCACTTTCAAAGAAAGTGACACCTTATATCATCAGAGCTTTCCTGGGTGATCTGTGTTCTGAGGTCAGATGGGAGGACTCCTGGGTGGCTTCAGTTTGATAGTCTGGAGGACACTATAAGAGGGTCCTGTAAGGATGCCATGAATATGATGTTGTAAGGGGACTGGACTGCACCCCCTGATCTGAGATCTGGGTTGGCTGTTTTTGAGCAATACTTTGTAGAAACATGAGGCAGAGGGAAAGGGGAACAGACAGCACTAAGTGTAGTCTCCATTTGTATGCTGTTCAGTCACATTTTCAGATACATCAGTGAGAATGTCCCTTCCAGTTTCAAAATTTTCCTCTCCAATAGCCATTTGCTTGTTCAACCCAGCTGCAAGTCTTTCTGACGACTATATTATTAGAAATAATAATATTAGGAGCACCACTTAATTTTTCTCTGGGGGCTCCTTTTCTTCTAGCCATGATGGCAGCACAAAAGGCAGGTTCTTATTTGGAAGTCCCTCTGACACTGAGCCAGAGAAGCTCCAAGGCCCTAAAGCTGTTGAGAAAAGCACAGCAGTGTTTTGGCCATTACAGTGGTCATGCCTAGTTGTCCCATTTTAGAAGTGAAGCATTGGTACCAGGACCTGGCATGTTTCCTTAATGAAGGTGATGGGATGTTCCTGAGGTAGCCTTAACCTCATGGCACTTCTTTTGCTGTGTGATGTACAGAGAAGCTTATAACAGTTTAACCAAGAAAGCTTTCTTCAAGTATTTCTTTGCTAGCTTTTTAAGGGAAGGAAAATGGAAAGCTAAAGCAAAAAAAAAAATTGTTAATAAAAATTACAGAAAACCCCTAGTGCTTTTTAGTTTATAAATTCCATGATTATAAAATTACACTACAGACTATAAGTAAGCCAAAAGCATATTTAAGAATCACATATGGACAAGTAGTCTGGTAAAATTTGAGAATGATATTGTGACAGTCTTACCTCGTTATATAGACGCGTCTGCCATGCTGCAGGTTTTGGCAATCCTGAAATGATTATGTTGTACAAGTCCCAGTTCCACTTTCAGCCCTGCTTCTTTATCCCCACCAATTACCAATGAAAGATGTGGCCAGTTACTGGGTTTATAACTCACAGGAAAAGTGCATTTTCATTGAGGTGGCCCTAGGGCAACCTTAGAATGGTACAACAGAGAACTCCTACAAATGTGGATAATGAATACCAGGTTTGCCAGTGAGGTCTGAATGCCTGTGCAGAGATTTTCTAAGACAGACATACAAGATAACCTTGCTTATCTCTTCTGGCAAAAGGCTCTGGGTGCTGCTTCTTTATTTTATTCCTTTTCTTGTTTTGTACTGACAGCATGGTATGGTAGTCACAAAGTATTAGTACTTCTGAGGGATGGGTAGACAGGTATCAGGTGAGATTTTCATACTAAGTGACTTTTGATAATTGCATAGGATGAAAATCCATCCCTATATATAAAACACATCGAGGTTGTTTGGTGTGAAACATTTTGAATGACTAGTTTGGGATAATTTACATAGCAAACTATACTGACTCGGGTCAGTGCCAGCATTTTATTTTTAGTGAAAAATTCTAACTGGGCTCAGGTACTTTGCTATTACAAAGATGAATTACAGACACTTGGAGGAGATCAGAGCAGGCAGCTGTGTGGTCTCAGTAGGTTAACTCTATTATAATGACGCATGCAGAATTGGAATCTAGACGGATCTTCACTTGTTACCGTCTCTGGTTCTTTTGTAGTTTGAGTGAGATTGGAAAGAGGAGGGAAAGGGATGGAAAAGAAGGTCATGGAAAGATGACTACTGTCTTAACGTTCCCACTATTAGAACTAGGAGCCTGTTTCTCTCCACAGATGAGAAATGAACTTAATTCTTCACAGAGAGAATTCTATAGAGTCTGTTAATAAACTATATAGAAATTGGACTTGGAACCAAGACAAAATAATATTTACCTGTATGATTGCTGGTAATTCTTTATTTCTATGAGATTGTTCATCTAGTTATTAGAGATTTCTGTCCTGCTGGTTTATTTGATAAATGGGATAATTAAATCATAATTACTCATCCATGTATTCCTAAATTACAAGTAACTGGATGTTTTAATACCATTAATATGGAATAATACCAGGGGCTCAAAATAATACCAGGGACTCAAAGATAACATTTGATGTCTTTTTAAAATGGCTACACATTATTTAATTTGATTTTTACAATCATCTTCATTTAATGCCTGAGAAATCCAAGATAGAAAAAGATTAAATGACTTTCTGAAGACCAACCACATGGCTAGTAACAGGCAGAGCCAAAATTAAAACTAGAGTTTCTAGACTCACAGTGCATTGTTCTGTTCCTCCTAAATATAAAGGAATTAAAATAAATTGCATTTCTTTAAGATAGTTTTTAGTCTCAGCAGTTGTACATTTTCTATTAAATGTATAATTTGTCAACTGTCTTAGTTGGCCCACTAATTTCATTTTTATTAAAGGTTTTAAAAACTTGTTATTGTGCAAATAATACATATGAGGAAACAGAAACATAAAAATGTAAAAATGAAAATGAAAATCATCCTACCATACAGCATTAAGTACAGTTCATATCCTTCTAAGTGTTTTTCTGGGTGTATATATGTATGTATATGTGTATACATATGGTGTGCTTTTTGTAACAGTATGTCATGAATATATTTCTGTATTAATATAACATACTTTTACAACTTAGTTTTCAATAACAGCATAACTATTTCATTTCGTGGATGTTATTTATTTATTCGATCCCCAGTTGGATGTTTTAGGATACCTTTAGATTTTTAATACTATGTGTAACAGCCTTGTCACATATGTCTTTTATGTACTTTCCTCAGGATAAATTCCTAGAAGTGGAATTGTTAGATCCGGGTTTACAACTTTTTAAGGTTTTGATGTATATTACCAAGGATTGCAAAGATTACACCAGTTTATACTAGGGCATGAATAGTACGTGAGTGTGCTGATTCCTTATGCTTTTGCCGGCATCGGGTGCTTTCGTGTTTTATAATCTTTCCCGATTTGCAAGTCAGTAAATAGTATCTCATTGCTTTTAGATGTCTTTGATTATTAGGGAATTGAACGTCTTTTCACATGTTTACTGGCCATTTGTATTTCTTGTTTTGCCAGTTCAGGTCCTTTGCCCATTTTTCTGCTGGAGTGCTTATCTTGTTCTTAGTGATTTCTAAGAAGTGCTTATGTATCAAGTATAATCAACCTATTTCGACATCTAAATTGCAGACTTTTCCCAGAGTTTTGTCATTTAAATGTATGATTTGGGGGGACTTCCCTGGCGGTCCAGTGGTTAAGACTTCCCTTTCCAATGCAAGGGGTGTGGGTTTGATCCCTGGTCAGGGAGATTAAGATCCCACCCACATGCCTTGAGGCCAAAAAACCAAAACATAAAACAGAAGCAATTTTGTAACAAATTCAATAAAAACTTAAAAAATGGTCCACATCAAAAAAATCTTTAAAAAAAAAAGTATGATTTTGTGCTAAGCAGGTGTTTATTCATATCTCTTTCCCCAGCCTCCACTCTGTCTCCTTGAGAAGCCTTTTAGCACTCCATATTCATAAAACATTCACCTTTATTTTCCTCAGTTCTTTAAATACCTTTAATGTTTTAATCTGTTTGAAACTTATTTTGGTATATGTGAAATAACAGAAAATATATATATTGGTCGTTGCCCCCAGTTCCTGGCACAGAGTTCCTTAAAACTCTTGTAATTGCCCAAGAGATAAGAGCACAAGGAACATCTTTTGTTCTAACATTTGGTCTAATATTTCCTGACAGAGCTCCTTGGAATTTCCTGGGTGATAGGAGTGTCTTTTGTTCTAATGAGGCTACTCTTTCTTGATGGGCTCCTGGATGGGGGCTGGTCACCAGAAAGACCAAGCCATTATTAGAAGCTTAGAATTTTTGGCCACTGGCCACGCGCCCCCGCGGCAATTCTCCAGAGAGGGGAGAGGGGCTGGACGTGAAGTTAGTCATCGATCATGCCTATGTGATGAAGTTTCCATAAAAATCCCAACTGTACGGGGTTCAGAGAGCTTCTGAGTTGCCAAACACGTGGAGGTGCTGGGAGAGCAGCATGCTCAGAGAGGGCATGCGTGCTCTGCGATCCTTCCCACATACCTTGCCCTGTGCATCTCCTCCATCTGGATGTTCATCTGTATCCTTTATCATATCCTTGTATAATAAAGTAAGTAAACTTTTCCTGAGTTCTGTGAGCCATTCTAGCAAATTAACTGAACCTGATGAGGGGATGTGGGACTCTTCGATTTATAGCCAGTTGGTCAGAAACACAGGTAACAACCTGGATTTGCAGTTAGTATCTGAAGTGGGAGAAGTCTTGCAGGACTGAGTCCTTAACTTGGGGGATCTGACACTATCTCCAGGTAGACAGTGTCAAAGTTGAGTTGAATTGTAGGGACACTCAGCTGGTGTCGCAGAATTGCCTGGTGTGGGAAAACCCCACGCATCTGGTGTCAGGCATGTGGTGAGTGTGGGAGTAAAGGAGAAACAGAAGTGTAGCTTCTCTTCACTGTGTATGATCCAAGGTAAGGTTCTTTTGTTTTTATTCCCCAAATACTTAACCAAATAGTCCAGCATGAGGTATTTCTTTCTTCGCTGAATTGAAATGCAATCATTATCACATACTAAATTTCTAAGTAAGCTTGAGTCTATTTCTGATAATCTTCCTGTTTGGCTTGTCTAGTTACCTCACTGTTCTAAACATTGTGATTTTATAGAGCAATACTACTAGGCAGTTCATTCATTTTTATGTTTAGCTTAGGTAAATGGTCAATAATGAGACATCTATGAACTCTGCCTAGATTTGAGTTTTGTAACTGGCTCCCATGTTGGAGAGCTCATCATCTGGGATATCCTGGACTGGACTGTGCAGGCCTGTGAACGCAACTTCTGGGACCCATCTCCACAGCTGGACACTCAGCAAGAAATAAAACTCTGTCAAAAGCCAAATGACGTTTCTATTCATCATTTCACATGGGATGAAGAGGTAAAAAAAAAACAAAATTGAGAAAAATATCTATAATCTTGTCTCTTTTAATAAACCGTTTCTAATTTTAAAAATTTAATCTCATGATCCTATAGAAAGTTATCATTCCGTGTGTTCACGTTGTGCTCTAAAATGTTTTGATATTTTTCAAAGATTGCATCACTTGCTTTAAAAAAGAATTTTAATCTTAGCTCTTATCTTTGAGGCAAGGAAGTGATTAAATGGCCACAGATTTAAAAACCCTATTGAAATTTTGAGTTGGATTAAATATTCCCACAGGATTTGAGGATAATGCTTAAAATTGTTCTAAGAAACACTTTGAGAAAGAATCCTTTTGAAGATTCTGGTGCATTTCCTGGAGCAGTAAAGGAAATTAAAAATTTCAGGAATGCCTTTCTTTTAGTCTGCTGGCATCATGGGGCAAGATGATTGTGTGAGAATTATTGACTTCAATCCTTTAGGCCTTGGCAGTGATGCTCTTGAAGCACTTTACATCCTTTTTTGCAGTAGTAGATTAGTACCAATGGATTTCTGAATCTTGGCTCTGATCTGAACATCTCTTCTTTTAGCTTCAGGGGCTCAGAAAATATGTTTAAAATGGGGGTTCCTTTTCTAAATATAATCACAAGAAATGTTTGAGTTATAAACTTTGAGGAGAGGGGTTAGAGGAGGCTTTTACCTCACTTTATTTTGTGCCTTCCTGTACTGTTTAAATCTTCTAATTGTATGTGTTTTGTTATTTTTATTTAAAAATTCAGTAATAGTGTTCTGGATGGGGAGAGCATGGTCTGTTTTTTTGTTTTTGTTTTGGCTTTCTTTGCACCTCTCTTACCTTAAAAACAAAACAAAACTAAAACAGAGTAGGGTAAGAATAGGTTAAAGAACACTGTTATACCTAAAGATTAAGTTTCTTTATATCCCAATTTTATTTTTTTTAAAAAAAGTAAATATGATAGAAGACAGTAGTCTCAGAAAAGATGGAAAATATCTCTAAGAGTTGTAGCCCTAAAAATTTTATATGTATATATATTTTTATCTTTCTTTTTTAAAAAATTATTTATTTAGTTTTGGCTGTTTTGGGTCTTCTTGTTGCGTGCAGGCTTTTCTCTAGTTGCGGCGAGCAGGGGCTACTCTTCAGTTGTGGTGCGCGGGCTTCTCATCGCGGTGGCTTCTCTTGTTAACGAGCACGGGCTCCAGGCGTGCGGGCTCAGTTGCTGTGGCTCAGCCTGCTCCGGAGTGCAGGCTCAGCAGTTGTGGCGCACGGGCTTAGTTGCTCCGCGGCATGTGGGATCTTCCCTGACCAGGGATCGAACCTGTGTCCCCTGTATTGGCAGGCAGATTCTTAACCACTGTGCCACCAGGGAAGTCCATATATATATATATATATAT